GGGGCCGGGGAGCGCGGGGCGTAAGGGGACGAGCCCTGTGGCTCTGCAGGGGTAGAGCCAGCTCCAGCCCCCAGCGCCTCCCCGCGGCCTTCAGCGGAGAGGCGGCGCGGAGGAGCCGCCGGGCAGGGAAGGGAAGGGGAAGGGAGCGGAGGCGGCGCCCGGCCGGAGCCTCCTCGGAGAGGCTTCGGTCTTGGCTGAGACGGAGTGTCGGCAGAAGGCTAAGGGGCCCAGGGAACCTCTTCCCGCCCCCTCACCTGCACGGCGCGGCTGGAAGTCTCCATGATGTATGCTGCCTAGACACGGCCTTAGGTGTTAGTGGAAACATTCCTCCTCCTCTATTCAACTGCGGTCCTAAACAGGGACTTGGCGTGCAATTTCTGCCGCTGTAGTGGCAGGAACACATTGATGTGAAACCCAGTTTAGAGGGCTCCAGTCCACATATGCGCCAGTAGCCTTTATGGTAATAATAAAAAACTGAAATGTTTTAAGAGAGACCAGGTAGTTGAGCTTTTCCATTGGGAGTCTCCACTGCAATGTCCTCAAATTAATATTTTAAGTTCTGCAGAAGGTAGTCACGTTGCGAGTACAGACAGGACTGGCAGACTAGAAGAGGAGCTTGGTCACAAAATGTCCCAGTTGTCTCCTCCTGTGTTTTGCTTGCATAATAAAAATACCGTGAAAAAGTAGATCCATATTCCTTCAGTAGACTCAGGTTTGTCTGATTGTTTGCCACTTAAATATCTGGACTTAAAGTTGTATATGAATGCTGCATTATTTACAAGACAGGACTGTGGTGACTTTTTTAGTACAGCTGCACTTGACTGGGTACTTGGAACTAAGTTCAGTTTTGCACCATGAGGACATTGTCAATGTAGCCTCTTTGATTTCAGATCTGATTTTCTACCAGCGTGGTTTGAATCCTGAACTGGTAGGGCAGTAGGCTGATGTGTTCAAGTATGCTTCACAGAGATGGAGCTTTAACTATCATTTAGGAACAGACACAAGATCCCCTTCCAAGACATGACTTTCCTTTCCCTTATTTTCAGTGGGAATTTCTTTTCTATTAAATTTAAACACTAGAATATAGCACAACTCAAGCATTAAGAAAACATGCTAAGCTTTATTCTTCTCCCCCACATCATTTAAAAGAGCATTTTATTATTATTTTGTACTTAGAGACCAAATCTTTGTAACACCTTCTATACCTGACTTAGACACTAGATTTTCTTTGTAAGTCAATATAAATTCCATAGCTCCTTTGGTATCCTGAAGTATTAGTTCAATTTGATGTTGTAAAGTACTACTGCATAATGAGTTTTTTTAAAAAATAGGACTTTAAAATTTCCTATTCTCAGAACAAATGCAAGTAAGTATCAAGCAACAAAAATGCCTCAGCTTGATGTGCTGCTGTTCATTGCAGTTCCAGGACTAACATGTCAATTAAGCAGTTTTCTGTATATATGAAAAGAAATTTGATTTCCATTACAGCTGTGAGTATTGAATGTACAGTTGAAGAATATATTTTAACTATTACTAAAAAGAAAAAGCACAAGTATCTTGACCAGAGATATATAGTATGATGTATAGATTAAGAGACTTTAAAGCCACAAGGGATAGCTGCAACAGTATATAGGCTGCTATACCTTTCAGTATAGTCCATAGAATTTTATATAGTAAATCTTACAGTTTACCCATTAAGTTGTAGTTACACAAGAGGATTTCCCTTGGAAATACATCCAGCTTTCAGTCTGAGGAGTGGGAGTCATGATTACTGTTCACCTAAATAAAGCCTGAAGCTTGATGCAGAAACTAAAGTATTGCTTTGCTAGTTCTGAAAACTGACATTGTTCACTTGAGACCAGGTCAATTCTCCTGTTGGAGAACTACTCAGTTACTCTGAAAGTAAGGTACCACTCACTGAGAACGAGGACCACTGAGCTGGGGCTTTTGTGTTTCTATCTACATCTACCTGTAATAGTTTTACATAAGGCATTTTACATGAAGAAAGATTTTCAAACATTACATTTTGATCTGATTGTCAAAGACAAAATAAGACTTAAAACTACTCTTAAAAAATTTAATTTTAGGTCACTGCTGATTTGTTCTGTAGGTATATGTTGATCCCCAGTAATGGTCTGGCTTCTGCACTGTCTTGTAGTAAAAAGTACCTCACCCTAGAGTGACACTACTCATGGAGTAAAAACCTACTCAGTGAAAAAGTGGCAGAATGTGACCTTAAATTAATTTGCTTGACATGTCCCCTTCACATTGATTTTCAAGGAAAATGTGTGAAGCCTCTGTCTTTAATGCCTCCCTCATCTCCCAAGAAATGCCCAGTATTCAGACCGTTGTGTGTGCAGAGATGTAGAAACAATGGTTAAACTCATGGACAGATGTCTGAAAGCAGACAAGAAAATAGAAACCCAAGTTAAAGGCTGTATATCAAAGTGAAATAAGCTTGTTGGAAATCAGATTTATTCCCATACAAAGACACAGATCTCTTGTTCTGCCATTGCTGTTGGCAGAGTTAATATCTACAAGGAAATTAAAATAATATTTAAGCTATTTATTAAGATAGGGTATGCCATTGCTCCAACTGAAATTACAAGCAAAATGTTTCTATTGACTAGAAACAAGCATAGTTTGAAGCCCGTTGTATGCTGTCTATGTGTCAGACAGTTTGTCCATGATGTGTATACGCGCCGCTGCTTTTTGCTAGGATGTCAGACCTGTAAAACCTTTGCAGTGATGTTGACCTCTATTACAGGTGCAGCCTACAGAGGATAAATCCTAACGTTCATTTAGCATCAAGCATGTACATGGTAGAAGGAAGGTAACATTCTTTAGATCTTTACAGAGAGACCTTCCATTCTTTTTGAGTTTGCTTATTTACTTTGGAAAGAGAAGCTTTAAGTAAGAAGTGGGTAAATTCTATGGCAGTACACTGAACGAACAGAATAATCTCTGAATGGACGTTGTTGTTTAGATCTGTTAATTTTGATATAAATATGAGAAAAATAGATGTAAAAGAATAGCATCAATACAAACTTTTTTTTTACAATGTTAAAAACATGAATTACATACAAGAGCTATGTAACATCAGCTCATTTTATCTCAACAGAATTTTCAGAGGAAGAGCAGTGGAGCTTAATGCTAAGAAAGTAAGCTCTTCAACTTTATTTAACCATTTACATTTTCAACAAAGTAGTTAAAAGACTCTCTATGTCTCTATAACAATCCATAGCATCAATTTAACAACCATAGCAGGTATCAGAAAAAATCCATAGCATCTCTTTAACAACCATAGCAGGTATCAGAAAAAATGCAAGGGAATTGCAGTTTTCTTCCATCTTCCTTGAGAGGAAGGCATCAGTGGAGACCGGTCAGGTGATACAGATTCACGGTTAAAGAAAACCAACATTTTTAGTTAGGTTTTGTGAGAAGGTTAGCTATCTTTGTATTTACTAATCTTAGGCCATGTTTGAAAAAAAGATTTAAACTAGACACATACCTCAATGACTTTTTTAATACCTTGTTTAGTGCCCATAATATTGACCATCTGTTTAACAGGGAAGGTTTTGCTATTGGTTTGCGTTAAGCAGAAAATTATTGCATTTGTGACAAAGAAAGAGGAAAGAAGAAAGAGAGACAGAGTGTGTAGATGCATGCTGATTTAATTGTCAAATTGTAATTTAAAGAGT